ATTGTTTGCCAGAATAATAATAATCCTCATCAACTGTCGGACCCTGGATTGCGATAAAGGAGAGTTCTAACTTCTAGAGAACACTTTGATCTGTATGTGATCCTACATACAAAGTTGAAAAGTCAACTTCCATTCCTGTTGCTTTACAATGCCGTGCCTGCATGATTACAATAGTTGGTTTTACTACACTTACGTTTTCAATCTCCATCTTAGATCTTGCTTTGTCATGAGTTATGCCTGGTCTTCTGTCCTATTTGTACTGATTGCATTTACTAAAAATGTAGCAGTGCTCTGCAGGTAGTTCATACAACTAAAATGACGAAGTTGCTTCTTCTTCTGTTGTTGTTGTTGTTGTTGTTGTTGTTATTGTTGTTGTTGTTTTCACGTCAATTAGCTGGAACACTGATGAGCAACATAATTTCTTTTCTGTCTGCATATTGTTTCATATTTTTAATTGTTAATCTTTTCCTTTGTCTCAGGCAAGCAAACATTCATCAATCATACTTCATGTTGAGATTTTTACTCTGCCATTGATCATATGTGTTAACCAATTAAGGCATCCTGGTACCAGGTCTACATGAAGTAGAAAAAAATTTGAAGATCAAAAAGAGACACTTATGGTGTATCCAAGTCTTGGGTGAATTTCTTAAATGCGCATCTATGTATAAATACGACTATCCATATGGTGGATGAATGCCACTGCATCCAAGACCTTACAAAGATATAGACGTTGATGATATTTTTGCTATCCAACCACTAACACTAGAAGCACATTGTATGGAAAAAATAAGTTTGATTACAACTCTAACAACAGTGCCAAACATAATCTACAAAGCGAAAGCGAAATGATGAAAGCGTTGATCAACTTTTAGAGACAAAGTAAAATGATCCGAATATTTTTATATCTATATTAAAAAGGCAAAAAGAGGCAAATACAGGAAATTCTATTGGATAACAGGGAGTCACCAATCTTGATTGCAGCCAAAAATGGTTCCATTGAGATGGTGGATGAAATGCTTAAAGCTTTTTCAGTGGCTGAATTCCGGTGAGAAGTACTTGCTTCTGTTGGCAGTGGACAATCAAAACTTCAAGTATACAGGTACACTGTATATATGAAACAAAACTGGGAATTCTTGTTTTGCAAAATCGATAAGGATGACCATATCGCATTACATCTTTCTGGAGGACTTGAAGAACAAGGGAAAACTTGACTCATCTCAACTATACAAACGCTATGGGAAATCAAGTGATTAAAGGTAAGATCAATAGCTAATTTAACATGTATATTGGCTTCTGTTTGATGATAGTAACAAGTTATGAATGAGACCTTTCATGTTATTTAAGGTTCAATAGTCATCAAATAGTCTTAAGTTCAGTTGCTTGTAAAAGCCATTTGAATTAATCAATCATATGAAATTACTTAATAATTGTCGTCTTTTTTCATCTTAGTTGCTCGAGAGTCATTTTCTAACCCGAGTCTAATCAAGAAAGTTAGCTTCCATCATATATGTAATATCTCACATGCCAATGATTATAACAACTACTAATAATTATTAAAGATTGAAATCTACACATGAAATTTGGTCAAATAAACACTAGGTAGAATATGAGACTCCTAGCTGGTACTGATTTTGTAATGTTGAATTTAAAATGCCAGCATTCTACAGCTTGTTTACACATAATTGTTGTTTTGGTTTTGGTTCATGTCATCAATTTTGCCTTCAATCAATTTGTTTATTTCACCCTTTCCTTACACCCTTTTCTTTCTATCTTCCTCCTCAAAATTAGTCTTCTTTTAATCCCCTTTCCCTCCTGATCAGGTCTGTAAAAAGATTTGTCCAACAACTAAGATGGAAAGCAACCTTATCACTCATATTGGTTCTGCCTTAGAGATTGTAGGTTGCTACTAGACACAATGCCTCCTTCCTCTGAGGATGATCTTTCTGATACACTGGCTATAAATAAAATAAGTTGTTGCTCGGGTCTTTTGCTAGGTACACTTTCACGTCTTGTCACGTCTCTGATTTGAGTCTCTGAGAGTTTGGTTGAGAAACTCAAGATGTTTGCTTTTTCTGGCGTAAACTTGGTGAACCATGCATATATTGAATCTTTCTTGTTAAAGATCAAAGACATTGCTCCCAGAAATGACGTCTTAAAGCAGACTTTAGAAGATCTCATTGATCATGTTCATGAAGGTAACCCTATGTATTATTGCATCCGTTTGTTTCATTTGGACTATGATACTTTGGAAAACCAGATATATAAATCTTAAGGCACACTCTTTGAGACCTATTGAGGATCAGGTTCTCTCACGAAAGATGAAGTCTTAGAAATCATCACTTTGACTTGATGTTTCAAACCGCCCCTTTGATACTATAGAGGATTTATTGGAATCCTCAAAAGTGCATATGACATTCTTGAAAGATCTCATTGTAAATTTGTCTCCATATGCGCTGTAAGTTTCATTTCCATCCTTTCTAGGCAAGTAACGGACGCTGATTATTAATCTCTGTTAGCTACTGACATTTGCCAAAGCATTTAAAGGGATGCCTATTATATTTTGCAAGAACATGAAAATATCTCAGCTAAATCGTTCAACAAACGTAGAACATGAAATCCACTCGTTGGATCGTTCCTCGAAGTACATTCATTAGACCATATAGAAAAGTACAATAGTGATTTTACAGAGCCCTAAAGCTAGGATCTTTATCAGGCGAGTAGTCATCAAGATCGAAGCCAAATTCTTCAATCCGAAGTATCCTTGATATGCTTTTCATCAAGCGAGGATATGAAATTGAGAAGGGTAAGAGATACTCATTGGATGTGGAAGCTACTAGGGTGCAGATGTGATAAAATTGAATGGATTTTAGAACATATCTCTAATTTTAGAGTTGGAAAAATCCACCACCGGTGGAAAAAAAAGAGGGCGATAGAGAATATTTTCTTTTGTGGTTAAATTGGATTATTTCTTGGTGGGGCAGCAGTCAGAAAAGAGAGAAAGTGGTGATGATTTTTTTGAATAGTGTACTGTTAGCGGTGGTGGAATAGCATCATAACGGGTAATTTTTCGCTATATATATATATATTAAATTATATTTGGGCATAACTGCTTTTCTCTGAGGACAAGCCGGTTTTAAGACCCATGGCTCGCGCCTCGACCCGATTTTGTCAAACTTGTATGAGTATTTACATTTTTCTTTTAGATTAATTTTCCCCATATTTCTTTAAAAGGTTATTGTCTAAATCACCTCCAAGATTCAGATGATTATCTAAAATACTCTTGATGTTTAAAAACTATAAAAAATAACCTTAAGTGGTAAGTTAATTATAAAAAAGGTCTACCGACAACTGAAAATTGATATTCGCATATGAACTCGACCAAATTAAATTTTTAGTCGTCGGATGACGCTTTTCATGAGTGACATACCGAGTAATGAATGCTTTCGATTTTTTTTTCCTAGAAAAACAACAATTTAGATAATCAACTAAATCTCAGGGATGTTTTTGATATTATCCCTTTTTAAAAATATTATGTGATTTTTTATTATCTAAAATTAATTAGTAAACATGCTATATAGCAAACTAATACTAATATTCTCGTGGTGGGGAGCGGGGTTTTGGATATATTATATTGTGTTGAAACTTTAATGCTATTGGTTTGTTAGAAGACTTTCAGATGGTTATGTTCTTCATAATTGATATGATTGGTTACGTACTGTGCATTTGGTAATTTGATATTTTTGTCTTATTTTTTTAATGCTAACCTATTTTTGAGATATTCTTTTAACCATACTCTTTCCATTCTAAACTATATGCCGTTTTAAGGTTTACAAGAATTTTTAAAGTATATATATGTATATATATATATATCATTTTACAAAATCGAGATTACTTTTATCTTATTTTTTCAACATTACCTTTGCATTAGAAATTAAATTATATTTAAAAATAAAACTGTATTGGTTGGTGATGAGTTCTATCGACAATAAATAGTGTAATTTCTTATTTTAGAAACCTTGAAACATAATATCTTCTTTCATATGACTCTTAAATAAAATCACATAAGTCACATAGAGTTAAACCCTAAAAACAAATATTTTAAACTAATTGAAATCTAATTTTCACAAGAAAGGTCCTATTATTCTTGAAAAAGATTTCAAGCAACTTCATATTAACTCAAAAGTTCAAAGAACAGTTTGATCTTATTAAGTTATCTTGCACACATATTGAATAAGAGTTTTTAGAAAACTTCAAATCAAAGCACCTAAAGTCGACAAGTAATTCGTAATAGAAGTCGACAAGACACCACATAAGTCGAGAAGCAACCCGACAAAGGAAGCCGACGAGACACACAACTAAGACCGACATATTTCTAAAGTTGACACAAGACTTGACACAAAACACCTAATATAGTGTTCATGATTGATTGAAACACCACAAACACTAATTTTCTTCTTTAATTCAAGAAAACCGAAGTCAAGAAGGAAATATCAACAGGTCCATATACTACTAAGCATACTTTCATGAAAATTCCATCCACAAATAGAACATAAATTCAAAAGAACCTAAACCTAAACTCATGCACACATTGCTCATGCATACACACGTCTCTTACGAAAATATAAGAACTAATACCACTTATGTTGTTGGGAGTATACTAGATTAGATATGTTGTTTTGATTCTTAAGAACTAATGCCACTTATGTTTGACTTCGATGTCAAGTTTCTTTGTGCCTTGCTAGATGTACAATATAATAAGGCCAACATATTGCCAATTGTTTCACAAACTCGAAAAATTTATATTCAAATTATGTAGGTAACCAAAAAGAAAAAAGAAAAAAAATGGAAAAGTTATATTTTTACCGTATTTCATCAATATGAAACCTTCTTTAAATAAAAAACTAATGAGAAACAATTGAAATTTAATGATGCTCGATCGCACCAATGAGAAACATTAGTTTTATTGCAAACTCTTCGCACCTACTGTAAGAATTCTTCCTTTAATATTTGGACCTCTTCTTCAAGGATGTAAGGACAGAGGTTATTGCCATGATTGCAAAACCAACAAGAAGAATGCCAGTTGCTATGTCCGCTCTATCAAAGAATTTAGAGGTTTTGGATTCGGTTTCCTTTAACTCTTGATTTCCCCCGTCGGCGGCACCACCGACTTGCTCAAAGGCAGTGAAAAATTGATCCAAGAATCTTTTTACCTCAAATGTTATGCCAAATCCAACTCCAACTCCTGTTGCCAAAATCCAGCTGACCACCTAAATTAAATCATAAAATACACAATGGTCATATAATGACTTTCCTTTAACAAAAGATAACTAACTGTCGTTTTCAATGCAGTTACAATATGAACGAAGTCTATATATTGCTTCATTCTCGGATACAATAATACTTTTTCCATGTTCTTTAATTGATACTTTACTTTTTAGAACTAAAACAATACAATACAAAAAATTATTCAAATAAGACGGAGTGGGCATAGTGATATATATAGTATACATTCCTAGAACCTTTCTTCTTCTTCTTTTTTTTAAGAATAAAAGTATAATTAATTATGAGATACAAATGGTATTAATCAAGTTGTTTAACGAGTAACAACCGTATACCTTATCGCCATAGAAATCGAGCTCCGGTAGGAAAGAACCTTTGATCCATCTCTTCCCTGTGGCGGCATGGAATATAGCAAAAGGGAGTTGAATCAGAGTGTAAACAAAACCAACACCTACCACTGCCACCTCGTACCTGTGGAAAATTATACGTACAAATTAAATCAACTATTTTGTGATAAGAAAAATTAATGAATATATAAATTTAACTCAAGCTCAAGCCTTGTTGTATCACACTTAATAAAACGGGGTGGGACGTAGAATCTATTCATGCATGTGGTTCAAACTTTTTAAAGAAAGAAAATAATTAAACAGTAAATGAAGCTTTGCGTGTCGGTCTCAACAACCTCAACAACCCCCGCACTTGATTCTGATTTTGCGTAAATTCCTCAAACTGTAAAGTATGTAATGTTGGTCACAGATCAAACTTCATGTATATAATTGTCACCACTAAGTAATTTGAAGGCTAGACGGTTTTCAAAATCATATTAAGAATATTGAGACGTCGAAACAAAAGAAATTTAAAAAACGAGACGTCACATAATATTTGAGTGTTACATTTCATTTTTATTCAAAGACAAATTATTTCCCAACATTTTATAGTGAAAATGCAAAAAGAAAACAAAAGAAAGTAAGGCGGGAACTAACCTGTAAGCATGAAGATCACTGAAGGAAAACTTAGAGCCATCACTAAATTTGACCTTATTCAGTACCATAACCACAACAGAGGCGGCTAGAAGCAGAAGAGTGACAACCCTCAAAGCTAGTACTGAATTTACTACCTTCTTTGAAGCCATACTTTTTTCTCAATTAATCGCTATTTGCTAGCTAGCTAGGCTCCTTCTAACAACTATATTGATGTATTTCATGGCCGAAATGTCCTCCTTTATACACAAAGGATATGGCTAATTCATGTGTATCGTACTATCCATTATGCCGATATTCTTTGCCGGCAGAATAATTTTGTGTGCTTTCGAATTCTGCCGGAGAATTAACATAGTAAACCAGGATGTTGTGCAGAAGAATACAAAAAAATTGGAAGATTGAAAAAATTGAGATGGATGAATGAGTTTGACCTCGTCAATTGGTAATTTTTTGGTTTATCGACTGTATTGTCCATTATGGAAGATCTAATCTGATTCAAGGTTTCAATAATTTAATTCTGCAAAGAAAGAAAATAAGAGAAAACCTCAATCCCCACGCTAGATTATCTTATCGAAGAACTACTCCAAAGTAATTTCCAAGAAGCAAAATAGGCCATGAGCAGTGACAGGGCGCGGGAGACATGCATTTGGTAGAGATTTTAGTTGCAAATTACATTTTTTTTTTCAAAATAATTGTTAAGTTTAGAATTTTACTTTTAGTACAATATAAATTGAAAACGAAAATCTAAACTGGACAATTACTTCAAGTCGGCAGAAATATAATTTACTCATTTTTGCACCTGCTTCCAGCTCTTTAATTTTTTAAAAACCTAAGCCCAACTCATAAAAATACTTAAAAATTATAAATTACTTTGTTTTTAGAAAAATTCATAATGTGAGTTATTATTGTGGAACGGAAAGAAAGGTTATTGGCACATTACGAAACTCAAAAGCATTGGATGGCTTTGTTAACATTTCATCTCAAATTTATATGACTTAGATTAGACGTTCAACTAAATTATAACTTAGTTTAATTTCTTTAAACAATTGGGTTGCCTAACAGGATGGCCACTGGGTGGACCTGAGTTTTTTGTATGCTTATGAAATTATATTATTGATACTCCATTGCCCCACAATTATTTTGTAATAAAATTATATTGTAATAAAGCGATTATGACACTTTCGTAAGTCAAATTTAGTTGAGATGGCTATGCTCGAAATCAACCATGTTTATGGCGTTTCAGAGATATTTCATTCCGCAGATTAGTTTTTTTTTTTTTTTTTTTTTCCTTCGGTATACCAGTTTGTCTTTATAGTCGGACGTACTGGGCAATGTGGATCTGATGTTAAAGCCAAGCGAGAATAGTGAAAAGTTGAGCCAATCAAATCAACTTCAGTATTTTTGTGAAATATTGATGTTTCCAAAAGATAATGGACTTTTGATTTCTCTCGTAATTTTTCCGTTTCAAAATGATTGTTGGGTGCAGATTTTATATTTAATATGATTCAAATTAGAAAAACAAAATATAAATTAGATAATTATTTCAAAAGCGAATGTACTTTATTCTTCATTGATGGATTTATTGGGATTTTTACTTCTAACTTCAGCATAAAAACATCGTAACTTAAGTGTCGACACTTCTTCAGCACTTGGCTCAGGATTGATTAATGTTAAGAAAAGAAGAAAAGGAAAGTAAACAATGATTTCGCTAGATTGGAACTTCGGTATTCAAGAATGGGGCACCGATAATATTCTATATTAAGAAAGAAGATAAATAACAAACACATTTCGAGTGATGTTCATAAGAATTAACAAAGAAATTCAATACATATATAAAACCAGTAGTAAATTCTCATCCTCCAAAGAATCGTTAATTGCACACAAGCGTTGACCTCCCCCCAATGGTTTTCTAGTAGCTTTTGCTTAGTTCTTCAATGAAATTATAATGAATATATAAAAGAAAAAAATAATTTTATCTGAACAATCCACCCTTTTCTGACCTCTTAATTGATGTAATGACAGAGGTAACTGTCATTGTTACAAACCCGCCAAGAAGAATGCCAATGGCAATTAGAGCCCTATTTAGAAACTTCAAATTTTTGGATCGGAATTCATCCAAGATCCGAGGATCGAAGCGACCAGTTTGCCCAAAGACAGAAAATGTTTGCTTTATTGAGGTTTTGGAGTCAACGGCATATCCGAATCCAACTCCAACTCCAGATGCCAAAAGGAGGCTAACCACCTGAAAAGGGGAAAATCATAGTTCGTACCCATGAAATTGTAGTGATTTTTTTAGGTTTCAAAAAATGCTTAATTTGTTGACAAGTCATGCAACTTTATTAAGTTCTTATGATTTTCTATTACGATATCATCGAAAGAAGACATGTTAACAATCAAACCTACCTTATCTCCATAGAAATCAAAGTCCGGTAGGCAGCCAGTTTTAATCCACCTCTTCTCGGTGGCAGCAAAATATATTGCAAAAGGGAGTTGAATCAGTGTGTATAAAAAACCAATGCCCATCACGGCCACTACGTACCTGTAAAAAATACACATTATATATATTGGGTTCCATAAAATAACTTAAGAATTATCAACATTAACATAATTATAAAACACGTAGTATCGAGTTTCTTTTTTTTTCTCCCGGTAAATAGATTAGAATCACATTGCAAAAAAGGGATGGTATTTCATGCGTGATTCTAGGAATAAAAAACTACCTCCGTATCTATAGTACTTAATTAAAGCAGCAAACAAAAAGTTCATATGTCAACACCACAATGAAAATTTTCCCGCCAAAAGTCATTTTCACTACAAAATCATTTTTGACACGTGACGCTCTAACTAATCAGAAAAAAAAAGATAGAATAGATAAATACATAAATTTCTTATTATAGCTACATAAAAATATCTTAATCATAGGTATATACTAATCCTTTAAAACAACAATATTTAGTTGATAAACTCAAATGTAAGGAAATCTCCTTAAATCAAGTGAAACACCAGTAATGTCTTTCCAATCCCCAATTTCAAAGAATATCTTCCATTCCGCTCCTCTCTCACACCCGGGCCTTTAAATCAATTACTTAAAAGCTGAAATCAATTATTAATCCATCTCTTTCTACAACAGAGAAAAAATACGCTGTCATGAAAGAAATTTAATTTTTTAAGGATGATTTTTTTTAATTCTCTTGTTGTAGATATTGGTTCATGATTTATATAAACCCGTACATAAGTTAACTGTTATAAATTAAATATTCTAAATCTGGGCATAGATTTATGTATAATAGCTCACATTCTGTCCTTTCAATCGATTTTTTATTCTTCTATTTTTTTTTTTTTAAGAATGATTCGTATTTTTTATTTAATCAATTTAAAAATACAAGCGACACCCCAAGCATTCGCCCGGGACAAGCATCTAGTATATAAATATCACATCAAACTCTCTCGGTTGCTAAAATTATAGTTGCGTGAATTTGATTAGAAACGTATAGTTGACTCGAAAAATTCAAGTCATTCAACAAGTAGCAATCTTAGGGGTACCTTATGTACAGTTTGTGTAAATTAATCTCCAAATGTATCCGGTTTACATTTTGCTTTCATACTTCCTCCATCCCATAATTATTGTGCAATTTAGGTCTTCATTTCTAGTTCAAATTATATTAAAATTGAAATCTCAAACTGGACAATAATTTTGGAACAGAGGGAGTATATTATTTTTTTTCCCAAGCGAAAAAGCTTTCGTATTTTCCCAAAATGAAAAAAATAATTAAAAGCAGAAGAGTGGAAAAAAAAGAGTAAAGAAAAAAAAAGAACAGAAAAAGAGGCTTAACCTGTAAGCTTGTATATCAGTAAAGGATAATTTGGAGCCATCGCTGAACTTGAAATCATCAGTGATCAGAACCACCAGAGAAGCGGCTAGGAATAAGAGAGTCACAATCCTCAAACCTAATACTGAATAAACTACTTTCTTTGAAGCCATTGTCACCCAAAGATCGCAATATTCAAACGAATGAACCCTATTTTCAAACTGTCAATTCAATCCTACAAGTTCATATGGTTGGAAGATATCCTTAGTTTATATATACAAGAAAATGGTGCATTTCTTGGACTTTTTTATTATATTGTACATTCGGCGGTACCAATGTTCGTTGCCTGCAAAGTTTTTAAATTTTGTTGATAAAAGAAGATCAATTAACTTTGACCCAGCACATGAAACATTTATTTTTAGTTTATTTTATGCGGTGATTTACTTTCAGTTTTACGAAAAAAAAATACATCAAATAATTATGTTCTTGTAAAGCTGATGTTTAATGTGATTGAATAAAGAATATCTTAGTTGACAAACATGGAGGTTAATTCTATGGAAATGATTGGCGAATTCATCGAGATGCAACATATTTTAAGGGGTTTTATTTGCATTTGTAATTTAGTGATAATATGGAACTCGTAACGTACTAGAGCCAGGGTGTTTGCTTTATGAGTAGTTTTTTAAGCTAATGCCTTGGATTTTTTCTGGGTGCAATTTTCGTAAACATGCAATAGCACTCTTCTCAGTAGATGATGATGAATGAATTTAAAATTTTAATTAGTGTGAGTAATTTATAATAACTCTGGACATCGTGGTCATAATACATATGCAAACGTAAATAACAAGGAACATTTTAGATCTTACAATTTTTTGTTAAATATTTGGTGTCATCATGGATGATGAATTACTCCATTTGCCTGCCTTAAATCGAGTTGCTAATCACAACACCGCACAACGAGACGTCAAAAACATGAAACAAGGATTCCTTGAGTAAAATTCATGACGCCAGGTTTTGGAATGTTTTTTCTTTTGTTCTTTTTTTTTTTTTCCTTTGGGATTATTTAATCCTAATTTTTTCTTAGACTTTTTCACTCTTATAACAACCATTAAGTGGGACTTTTTAGAAATTGAAAAAATTCAAGTTTAGTCATGTTTGTTCTATAAGTAAATTCTGAATTAATGACCATGCTGTTATTTTATGTTCGAATTGTAGAACCTAAGACTTGAAAACTTGCATATCTCGTAACAAAATAACCAAACCTAAAAAATAAGATTTGCAAACTAAAAAATTTGCACAAAAAATGCATGGATAAATGTGAAAGATATTAAGTTTATCCTTTTGAAAAAAATTTAAATCTCACATGTAGAGAAGCACTTAATCCATATGCACATTTGCAACAAAACAAAAATACGTTGTAAAATTTACTATTTTGCAAATTATAGAAAACCGCAACGTTTCTTTTTTTTTTTTTTTTTTGTATTGATTGAAACTAAAATTTATAAAGTACATGTATTCTATGCCAAATTCCCAAATTGTATATGTATACAGTGTAAGATCGTCTAAAAAGTCTTCAAATCCAAAAGTCTACATGGATTTGAATTTTTATTGGCCTCGTAGTCTGCTAATAAAAATAAAATTATCATAAATAAATAAGGAAGAAAAAATCCAAATCCTAATTAAAATGGGAAAACTGGAATATTCTGCCTTATGTTCGTCAACGTAGCTGTCGGCCGACAGCTTGCACGGCCTGGTATCCTTGCCCTTCTCGTCTATCAGTTTTACTCGACCAACATGTCGATGTTCTCCTGTTGAGTTCATTGTCAAATTGATTTTTGTTCAACCCGAGCCCGAGTTCCATTGCCGACTTCGAACAACTTTTGTTTCAATTTTTTATCATCCTTGGTACCAGTTTGAACATAATTTCATCTAACCATGTAATCATAATCATCGTAATAATTATTATAGTTAGATATGACCCTTAATAGTTCATTGAAATATTAGTAAGGATATTGATAAATTGAGACTAAAAATATGAAATAGCAATTTTTTCCTAATTACCCATGTCACCCTTTTACATGTTTTAATACTACATCCTTATTCCTTTTCCCTTTTATGATTTATCATTATCACATTAATTAATTTACGGGCCTATCTTATAGTCCAAATTCCAACATTCCGTATGGTTTTATTTATTTTTTAAAAGAATCTGACAAGATTTTCATTTTGAAAAAAGTGTTCCAATATCACATGGAAAATTTTATTAATACATCATTGCGGATTTGTATATAAAAAATTAACCAAAAATCAACACCCAATGAAAATAAGATAACGTCACTTTCCAATCGATAGCTTTTTTTTTTTTTCCAAATTTTATATACATTTGTATTCCATATATACAAAAATAATTTATTCTAAATATATATTTATTCTTAATGTAGTGGACTTTTTTTATCGCCCCAACTTTGTTTGCGCTATATTTAGTTATGTTATTCAAGAAAAATCTCAATATCACATTAATAGATGTTACCCGAACGATGTGTGTGTTATGAGAATTCATGCTTATTCAATCATGTTATAATAATATTCAGGTTAAATTTCATCACTTCAACTCTTACTTCTTTTCAAGAAAAAATAAGCATCTTCTGTTGAAAAATAAAACTAATCAAAATTTGGATGGGTATCTATGCAAAAATATACCAACATCTAAGCAAACGTTTAGCATAACTTGACCAATTCAAGATCCAATGTCACCAAAAAGAAAAAGCCTCCTATATTCTAGAGTATAAGTGTTTTGAAAAAAAAAAGGAAAAGAAAAGAGCATAGATGATATCGATTATTTAACTATTTATTCATTTTATTAGTTGTCTAAAATCTTTTAAATAGACTGATGTTGATATTTCTTAGTTAATATGCTAAAATTCAATTCATGATTTCAGGTTAAAATGGCATATACTAAACCATAAAACTAATTCACGATTCTCATTTAGTAATTAAATACAAATTTTTTAATTAACTTTGATGGAATATTTGTCGGAATTTGATTATGTAATCCAGATATTACCTAAAATAAGTATAATCATCATTCGTTCAATTCTAAATTCAAAAAGATACTATAAATTTATTTGGAGATTTGATTATTATTTACCCACTTGTATTCATTTTCTTCATAATATGCATAATCATTTTAGATTTCAACCTGATACAAATTGTCTCTAACCGGAAATTTGGTATTTACGTAATAGGAAATTTAGTATTTACTTGCCATATTAATAAAAAATCTTGAAAAAAGTTTCATTTAAGAAACGTGTGCATAAGAATTAATATCTTCTTGAACTTTCTTAAGTGATTAAATCAATTATTATATATTGCCGGCAATTGAGTCGGCTAATTTTTTGCGATAAAAAACTTAAATGTTGCCTTGTATTTGAATTTCCGAATCGAAGTAATCAATTTGGCGTTAAAAAGGATTTCTCACATGCCAAAAGTACCAATGTGTATATATTTTTTTTGAAAAGAAAGTTAAATTCATACCCAAATTATTACTTTTATTGAACTCAACACGCGAAAAGAAATAATATATGTAATCTTTGATTAACTATAGGTTGATAATTTAGAATAATTTTGGGGGTATAAATCTGTGAGTGAAACATTATAAATGCTTCATAGGAGTCTGGCAGTAGTGAGGATTTTTTAGCTTTATCTATTTCTCCCTTTATTTTAGTTTTTAAATGATTGTTTTTTATTTTTATTTATAATACTAAAAATTAAAATGAAGTAGTACTAAAAATAAAAATCCGAATTGTACTGTCATTCAAAGATTTAGAGACTATATCTACATAATATATTTTGGTTATTACAAACTTAAAGACACAACACAATTTTTTCACAATCTCAATTGTAGACTATTTTTATTGTGGAACGTAAGGAGAACATTAATTTGGCAATATTAATGCTCAATCTCGGAGACATTACGTTACCTCATTATTCAAAAAACCATGAAATGTTTTTTCCCAATAGGAATTAAAACAAAGTAAATTTGTGACTGGTAGAATCTTGCAAAAGTGGGAATGATTACGTCCCAAACTTAATATAAAGAAATCACATGAAATTAACTTTTGCAAATATAGTCGATAAAAGTGGGCACATTCAATTTTGCATGAAGACAATCTTTCAATCTAAGTGACTAGTGTTCCCCTTTCCCCTCCCACCTAACCTAAAATTTTTAAGAAAATAAAGTAAAATTAACTCATTGAAATCAGTGAGAGTTTTACGTTTTTTATCCAATTTCTAATAAGACCAGCAAACTCCTTATTTCATTCATAAACATTCCCTATCGTCTCCGGCGGTTCAGTTGCCAAGATTGTTGTGAGAGAATCCCCTGCCTGGAAGAACCGTGAGATTTAGATATTGGAAGAGTTGCAAAGCCCCATCCTTCAATATGTAACTTCACCTACTCCCATAAATTTCCGAGTTTAGGCATTCTTGTCTTCTTTTTCGTCTATGCCTCAATGGGAGCATCACCGTTGAAGTAGGCGTCTGATTCATGCATGAGCTCATCATATTGTGGTTCGAGAAGGATATTTGCTGCTTTGTTTTAGGGTTACACTGGCAGTGGAAAATATATCTACCTAATGTGGCATTTATATGAGTTATCTAACAAATTAACTCAAATTCCATGATCATCTTGGAATCTCGAAAATGATTATATATTGGTTTTATATTAAATTGATTGAGTCTAATCAAATTATAAATTAGAATATTAATGATGATTTTTTTTTTTGCCATTTTTGAGATACCGGCGAGTTTAAAACCGATGAATGTAGCCACATCAGTAGTTAACATCCAAGTTGTTCTAATTAAAGGCAAGTATTGCATTTTTTTTTATTTAATGTGGATTGTTGATTGATTAGTATTCAACAAATCTAGGGATTTTTTTTTTTGGGATGAGAAATAGTTACTTTTGAAAACCACGGGAAATCATCCCATATTGTTTCTCTAAATTTTTCCTCATTAAATTCACGATATTAATTTAATCCCTTGATCACCGGAAAAATACTCCATGAATAATTCTCCATCCGGATCAAATTAATTAATGCTAATTATATCATATTTTTTTTATTTTCTATTTAGCTGTCCATTAATTTAAAATTATAGGTGTGAAAAAAATTTA